TGAAGCGGTGCCAGCCAGACCTGTGGCAATCGGTCCAGGAATCGTAGGTAGAGCATGCGCATCCTCTGAGAATTCAGCTCGAGCCCAAGCGCTAACCAGGGCTGGAACCTCTGCTGCAGAGCTCAATTCGGCACTGCACGACTTGCTGCAGGCTTGCTCACACTGCACTTCTGCGCGAGAAAGACGAACACGGACTGCAAAGGCAGTTAAGGCGATCACACGGCCGCGTGCTCCAGGATCTCCTGCAAGTAGAGCATCAGACTCGTCTTCCTCGTCTTGACCACCATTTTGCCCTGCCAGAGACACTCGGACAGCGTGATCACTGCATCACGAAGACTCACACAAGCTGCGAAGTCGGGAGAAGAGTCAAGTCGTATTCTGGCAGTGCGACGATGTTGAATTCGGGAATGGTTTGTCCGAAGGAAAGACCAGAGAAGGAAGCAGTCACAAAACACGAAAGCAAGCTTCTGGCACGCTTTGGCATGGCCCGCCTTCCTGAGCGACCACGGTAGCCTCGTGTTAGCAAGCACCTACTGGCACCTTCACCGACTATGCAGCACCGGGCACCTCCTCTTGGACACCATCTTTGGTCGCGTGCGAGGACCAGCGACTAAGTGCCGAACTGCTGGCAAACAAGTCTCATGCAATCAGCAACTCAGTCATCAGCACTGGTTCCGAGCCACAGGACAGTGTACCGAAAAGTCGAAAGTCCTGCTGTGTCGCTGACTACCACGTTTTCCCCCATCTCTTCTCTATGGCTTGTGCCCTGCTCGTGCACTGGCCTCGTGTGCGGAAAGACACTGGTTCCGATCGGGTATAACCTGACTGAAGGTGTGACAGTGGCTGGCTCTTTTTGTCGCAGCTCTACTGTCACAGCCTGAAGCAGCTGAGCAAGGAACCAGGCGACGAGAGTCTGAAAAAGGTAGCAATGCAGCCAAAACCTTGGGGCCAGGGACGCTTGATCTCGTCGATCCACGCCCCTTACTTGCTGCAGGCCTCTGAGGGGACTCTGTCCACATCTTCCAACACTAGCCACCTGCCGACTATGGATTTGTGCGCGGACGCGCACAGGCAAAACAAGGCGTTCAATTCCAGCTCACAGGCCAGCTTAGCAAAGACATTGAACCCCGAGCGAGCCCAAACCCATATAGACCGACGGCAAGACCCTGGAAAGGCTCACAGACTGCCAGCCTACGCACCATGAAAGTGACATTGACATGGAAACTGAGTTGACGGCTAGCGGCTATCGACCCGCAAAAGGAAGCAACCCTGAACTGATGCTTCCCAAACCCAAAACCAAATCGAAAAAATGGCAGAGTCAAAAACCTCGAAGGACAAGCCCGAAACTCTAGAAGGACCGATGCTTGGAAAACCCGATGCTCGAACAGAAAACGAGGCCGGGCCAGCACAAACGCTGAGAGGCGGTACGGAACGATGGCTGCAATCCCTAGTGAAGCCCGAAAACTGACGATGCCGCAAACCTCTAAACTCTGGTGTCAGATGGGATAGGTAGTGGATCTATGGACCGAAAAATAATCTGCATCCATACTCAACGGGAGCCCAACGAATCCCTACACTCACCCAATCCCCAACATGAACCGCACTGACAGATGGGAAACATAAACTTGTAAAAGAGCGATGCGAAACCAAAACGATGTGTTTGCCGATGAATGTATATCACCCTCGGCCCCTTGAATGGATCCCCTCACAGATATCGAATTCTGGCTGGCGAAGTGGTCCAGTTCTTGACAATGTGGCTGTCTGCTGAGGTGAGGGGAGGTGTCACGAATTTCTTTTGATTGGATACAAGCAAGTCGGCTAAGTTGGAGTCAATGGGAAGCTGCTGAGAAACTCGCGTGGCAAGCCACTCGCAAGAGGAAAACAACAAAGTCACATGAGGGATCATGCTTGCGCCGCAACAAGCAGGTGTCAATGTTTCAAAACCCCCCGAGACAGAGTTGATCACACTCCACGCGGCCTGCCCTTTTGAAGAGCTTCTGTCACAACGCCAGGCCGCCACACAAACTCTCCTACCTGGTACAGTGGCAAGCTGCACGTGACTCAAGGACCGAACGCGAACAGGTCCCGGGCAGTCTCACCACAAACATACGCACCGAGCAGCATCTTGATGTCAGTCCTTAACATCTACCGCTGGACAGGCCAACTATATATCAGAGTATTTGACTTTGGCTCCCACTGCTCATCACAGAACAGAAAGACCTTAGGCATGATAGAACTCTGCTTTCCAGACTCTTGCAAGTGTAACCCGGAAGAAGCTGAGCAGGTAGCAGGCTCCAGCTGCCCCATCAACTCTGCCTAAAACGCACTCCAATGCAAAGACTTGCCTTACCTTTACCAGAATCCAGCGTGAGTGGCTCAATTACAAAGCCAGGCTGAGTGCGTGGCAGCCCTCCTCACGAAGGCGGTCTTCCCCACTCCAGTAGGGCCACCCACCAGCACCGGACTCCCAGTGCCTGACAAGAGCCCCTCACAAACAGCGTATGCTACCGTAATTGCAAATTCGAAAACATGTTCACGCATGTCTCCCTCTACTATCCTCTATTATCCATCTATCCTTCTTTCTAGTTGTCTCTATGGGCATAACTGCTGAATTGTACACAACGCACATGTGCATGTGGGATGTGTTCGGACTCGCACGCGCAAATCACTCTGGCGTAGCGACACACGAGACTGTCATGTTCCCAGACCCCGGTACACACTCAAGCATGTGCTCAACCCGTTTGAACGTGTCACGAGGACTGGTCTACCAGCCAGGAAAGTATCAAACCAATGCGACAGTTTGTGGAACCTATGAACCGTCCGACGGAAAGCAGCCAGATACAGCCAAGGGCCAAGGCACAGAAACTTGGCGTGTCACGGCTCCGTAAGTCTCGAGGTGTGCGTGAAACTTGCGGGGTCGTAAGTAAAGGTATAGAGCGGGGCCTTTGCGCTAACCTACCTTTTGCCCTATCTTATAAATCGCCCATTCGGGTAGCTCCTCAATCCGCCAGTAAATCATGTCAGTTAAATATCAAGCCCATGTTTTCTACAGGGAATTCGCAAGCTGTGTCGACCCTTGCAAAACACGCTGGATCAAGGTCCGTCAGGGATCTAGTGAGCATGATCCTAAATGAAGTTTCTTAGCAACTGTAGACCTGACACCCCAGACCTACAGTAGGCGAACACTTGCAATCCTTAAAACCCTATATACACTAAAGCACGACAAACTTACGAGCCCTACGATCATAACACCCAAGAAAGTCTTCACAACAAGTGCCCTTAACCCTCTCTTGCACGCTTGAATCGCCAGTGCTTCAATCGACAGTACTCGAATCGAGGAGATTGTGTACGAATCATGCTCGACTCACGTGTACTTGAATCGCAGCTGGCTCTTGACCATGGCTTAAACACCTCGACCTATAAATCCAATATTGCGTGATGAGCTTGTGCTTCCTCCGACCTCTAACAAAACAGTTCATGGAAAAGGGCAATGTAGGTCTATATGAAGGATCTACAAGCCCGACAGAAGGTCAGCTCAAGTGTTGAAGCTCATGCTGCGTGGAGAAAGTTGAAGGGACTTTGGAGCCCACTTCCACGCCTATGGCGAGCAAAAGCTGCCGCATCGCCTCGCATCTCGTCCAAGAAACGATCAGATGCTCTGAATTGTCTGAAAAGGCAGTGGGAATGCACTGAATCACTGAATTTCGCAACGTGGCGGCGACTATCCCTTCCCTGTCCTGCGACGCAGGGCCAGTGGAGACAAAGCGAAGACGCTGAGCAACGTCAGGATTGACCACCTATGGCTTTCACATGCTGACAGGGACACCGTGGGCAGCCTGTTCTACATCTTCGATTCCGTGAGCCTTGAAGCGGACTCCATGCCGACACCTGACCTCAACCAGAAGCACAATTTTGTGTCGCAGTGCAGCGCAGATCCAACCTGAACTCTCCAGGACATCAGGCAAGCAACTGCATCTGCCGGCGCATCCCAGTTCACACCGGATAGGTCTGCCTGTTAATTGCATTCTGGCATACCACTACTAATGCTCCCCGAGCACGAACGCTACGACGAGCTACACTGCGGCGCGGAGATTTCCAAAGGGCCTGCTCGTTGTCGGTTGTATCAAGCACCAGGGACCTTGATTCTATTGTGTTATCGGAAATCCTACGCCCAGGAAACGACCAAAAGACTCAGGCACTTGCTTCAAAGCATTGGAGCTTTCCACCTGCAAGCCTGCTGCAGCTGCTGGTGTTGAGGCTACTCGAGGCAGGGCTGCACATGGTACCAAGAAGCAGAGGCCCACGAATTTGTGACCAAGCTTCCAGCTCGATACAGGACGGCTAAACATAGGCTCGACGTGGCCACCCCCACTCTGTATCTCTAATTCTGGCACAAGAAGAACGTACAGTGGGACCCATAAATCAAAATGCATCCTATCCACTATGCATTTGACCATGACCCCGGCAAGAGTGCGGGTCGTTGTTTAGCGGCAGCTGGAGTGAAATGGATTGCGAGTCAGAGTGATTCCCCACTGCAATCCTGCAATCTGCAACTTGTGAAGGAGTTGTGATCGTTGATGTGCCTGACACGAGCCTAAGCCCTGAGCCTGAAACGCCCCGCTGCACTTGCATCTTGCCTCTTTTCCCTCCACCATCAGCACCAGAGAGCTTTCTTCGCCTTCCACATCAGACCAGACGGACTTTAAGCATTCACCGAAACACGAGCGATGATCACACAAAACTTGGCTAACGCATCCACTAACTGGGAGGGGCATGGACCCACCTGCGCATCCTGGAGCCATGCGCCAGCTCTCAAATGTCTGCATGTGCAAGCATACAAGGTCGTGTTGAAGCTTACAATGCCTATCCATGACAAGCTCTTCCACGTTACGTTTCTGATGTTTGTCTGATTCGGGACGAGGCGTGTCAAGCAATAGTTGGGGAGCTAAGGTGATGCTTGGGCTGGGTGCTTGGGCTGCGCTGTGATTTCACTCATGGCAGCACTTGCGGTTCTACTGTACCTTGCGACAGTGAGCACGAAGCGCACACGTCAGAGCTCGGCACGACCAGCGCTTGACCATGGTTGCTCATGAAATGGTTCCACATTGTCCTATCTAGTGCTGCGGTCCAGCACCCTCTTTGCTATGGCACGCCATGTAGCTCGTAATCGCTACAGCCGACGTTAGCAGCGGCCCGCCAAAGTCAACTCCAGCTCCATCTACCTGCGGCAGCTGCTAAGCAAGCCTTAAACATGCAACGCAGTCAAGCACCTCATGCCGTCAGCCTTTCATTCATGTCTATTGAGTCTATTGCACCAGGAGGCTTCTTCTTGTAAACCAAGGTTTTCCAGGTGTCGCTCTCTGCACCTAAGATGCGACCACCATGCAAACTCAAACGACGAAGTTGCTCTGGTCACCTCGCAAGGAGGTTTGGGTCAAGTAGCACGAAGGCTCATCCAAGCCGAAAAGCACAAAGCAGAGGCCTTTTCCTAGGATAGATCCAAACTCATTATGGACCGTCATCTTTTCTCGAGTCTTCGACGCACCGGCTTTCTGCAAGCAATGCATCCATTGCCCTTCTCCTTGTAGAGGATGGCGTCGCACTCCTCCAGGAGTGTCCCGTTTCATATTGAGACACACACCGCAGCTCTCGCAAGCCTGGTTGTGGACCGCACAACCCGCACTACACCCCAACTCTCCCAGCCGCCTTCGGTTCGACCTCGCGCTTCTCTTCTAAACCTGGAGGGATCCCTAGAGGTGCAGATTGGTGACTAGGCGACTTTCTGGCAGCAGTCGGAGCAAACCGGCCGAGAAGCACTTTGTCTTGCAATCTGTAAGGGAAATGGTGCCTTCAACGCTGGATTTGTTTACAAGTACACCACACATGACTGGCAAGCGATAGCCTCTCGCGGATCTTGCCGCACTGAAACACTTGGTCTTCTCCTTGGTGTCCCAGGAGGACAGGGCTTTCTCCATGATCTTCTTCGCGAAAGGACTGCTTTCCTGGGCTCGCTTATTGCTGTTTTCGAGCACTGCTTCTCTCAGGGCTTCTGAGGGTTTGGCATTCCAAGCTCAGAATACAATGGCTACTCCAAGCCGAGCCTCCCTGGCTTTGCCGAGCAACATCCCCTCTGAGGCTGTCCCAGGCCTCCCCAAACAAGACACTGGCTCAAAAAAGCCTCAAAAAAACACCCCACTTTGACTGTCCTCGAGCAGCAAGAAAAAAGCTCCTCCCAATGCGAGGCAGAGCATTGCTTTCAGAATGACAAACTGGAGCTTCAACAGTCATCGCTGTCCGGACGGTCGGTGGAAGCAGGTGAGGCTTTCTTGCCAGATTGTGTAACACAGATCGGTCTCGACGATGCACCTTGTCGAGAGCTGAACTCTTCCGAAAACCGTGGCAAGCGACAAGCACAGGACATCATGTTTTGCCATGCAGCAATCACACGGTCTCTCCAAGAATGCCGTGCAGCTCGCCGTGGAAAAATCAAAGCAAGCCTGAGCGAGGCATTGGCTCACGTGTCCGACTGCCTGGCCCTGGCGAGCCCTCGAGCGAGGTTCCGATGACGCTCGAGGGTGCTAGGCGCGTTAACAGTTCCTGCGGTCCGTATTTTCTTGGGTAGCTTGGCCCACACAACCACTATCCAAGGCTAGGGGCTGCGACTACTTGAGTCACTCATGCTCCAAGAAAACTGCGAAGCCGCAGAAGCTCAATAACGTCGGCCAATACTTGGAAGCTGCTACCGACAGGTCATCTACAGGGTTCGAGTGGGCATGCAGGCCGACTAATAGGGTCAATGTCCTGAGGTGGTACTGCAAAAAGGCCTAAGCCCTCTCACGAATGCTCACTGCGACCCCGCTGCAATGACAGACCGCCGAGAGGTGTCAACACAAGAGAACGGATCAATTGTGCCAGTGTTGGCTCTGGGTTGTGATCCTTAGTGGTTACCGTACTTTCAACTTCAGGACAGGACAACGAGCAAAAGTGTTGACTAGCCACTCCATGTCTCGTCACCATCGGTAGCTAGCTCGTCCGAATCCAAGTTCAGTAGATCTGTCGCGCCAAAACTCTTCGGGCTGAAGATTGCGGCAACGGGCTGGTCGTCCACATCTGGACCCGAAGCGATGCTCTCTTCAATGGAGTTGCCGAAGCCTCCTCCGACAGCTTCTGCATTGTTGGCTTTGGCACACCGGCATGTGGCCGCTATGATTGCCAGGACATGCAGGAGCGGCTTTCCTGCAAGGTGCCCATCAGGCATCGGGCTCTACATGGAACTGCACAGGGCAGACAATCGTTACTCGGCCCAGGTGCTTGAGCCGTTCTGTTGTCTTCACTTTGTGCACACCACCGGGTCGGAGCGAGCAAAACCCTGCAACTGCATCATCCCTGCCGTGTTAGTCCCTGAGTCATCTGAACCGTACCTGCACACATGCGGAGTCTAGGAAGTGTGTGGGAAGTTTGCACCATGATATTACCTTTGCCTTGACGAAGAGACATGCGAGAAAGAACTGGAGTTTGACCTAAAGCAACACTCCAGGCTTGACATCACGGTCGCCTCCGCAGGCATATGTTTCCGTAATCCATGGGTGAAACAGCAAAGGCTCTCGTCACGGAGTCTGGCCCAAGGGCTTTCCTTCACCATTCATTATATCGGTATATTTCCGATACGAGTACCAGGACAACAGCAACGACATCACGCAGGAAACCACAAACATCAGGAGGTGCTGCCATTTCGCATCCCAGATCTTCAACTCCTCGCCCTCGTTCACCAAATCATTCGCATCTTGCAGAGATACCCCAAGTGATGCCATGATGAAGGAGACCCAAAGCGTGTGAGGGACGGCAGCCACGAGGAGCTTCCAAAGAGGTATGTGGAGGGTTGCAGGCCCGTAGTTCCGAAGCCATATGGGAATGAACAAAAACCGAAAGAGTATCTGAAACTCCACAGAATCATCAGCTTCCTCTAGCACTTGCAAAGCCTTCTTGGCGGTCGGAAAATTCCCTTCGTCGAGCCAGCCTCGAATTGGCTCCTGCAACCTTGGGAAATGGACATGGGCTCTTCTGCTGCATCAACAGCTTCGCTGAGTAGCACTGGCCATTGACGAGGTGCAAGAAGCGTCCCAGCAGCGCACAAATCACAGCCGCCGCATACAAGGCCAAGAAATTCAGAGCCGTTCCGCCACAAAGGCCTCAGCTTGCATGCTAGAATCGAAGCACTTCTGGTTCTCATCGCAACAGCAGAGGACAGGGACTTCTAGTTCAGCTCGCGACCGAACATGAGGCCAGAGGCCACACAGATGGCCTCCACCGGCTCTGCAACGCGTTTGGACTCAGATAGTTCCTAATGCATGGCCTGCCATAGAGGGACCATAAACACCACTGTGAAGAATAGTAGGAAAGCCCATGCCGCAAACCAGCCGCCGCCAGGCTTATCTGGCAGAAGCAACAGGACTTCTCCAATCAGGTGCGTGGGCCCGATCCAATACCTCGCGTTCGCTGGACAAGGCTATTCAGCCAAAATTAGGAGGGATTCTGCACCTTGATCACCCTTACTTATGGGATCCTCATCTGGGCCGGGCACAGAATGTCTGCTTACTGCTCGTCTCTGCAACAGCACGACTCATGACTCATGCACAGGGTGTATCCTGTTCCCCAATGTCTGACTACAGGTGCACAGAGTTGCGAGACAAGGGTGACAAGAGAAAAGAAACTCTTGAACCGTTTTGACAATGATACACCAAGCGTCACCAGCACAGCTGCTACGACTGCGACTGCCAGGCAAACCAGAACAGAGACATACTGGAAAGTGCGCTCCCGTGTCTCATGGCTCCAAGCTGTCATCTCCAAGCTACATTGTCGGATGACCCTGGGGCAAGTCGTCGGCCATGAGCCCACGCTACAGGTAAAAACCCGAAACACCCGCACTTCATACTTCAATGCAAATCGCTAACTGTTCGCTAACTGCACGAAGAAGATGTAAAGCAGCACCACGTGGCATCTCAGCCTTTCTTGATCGCACCTGCTCCAGTCTGCATCTCTTCTGGACACAGTTAGACGGAGACTGGGCTCCTCAACGCCAAAACTCCCGGCTGTCAAGAAACAAGCATTCAAGTGCTTGGTCTTGAAAGAACATCTGTTGCAAGAACACAGCGTCCGCTTTGGGTCCGGGGGGTGTGTCTTGAAAGCAGCCCCAAGGCTAGCAGTGTAAATTTTCAGTATTGCACTGAATGCCATACCTCGGCTCCAATGGCAAGGGCACGCCACTCTTTGTCTTTGCGAGTCAACCTGAGCCGTTCACAACTTCTCGGCGACCGTTGTCGGCTCCTTAAACCTGCCATGCACTCGCCACAAGCAACCCACTGTTTCAGAGCCGATAAAAAGCAGTTGCCAGACAGGGTGCCTGAATGTTTCCTGGACCTTCTCGATTGATTGCAACGCTGTCCAACAAGCATTGATCCTGACATTACACCCATCAGAGCCACAAGGCTACGGCACGATTGGCACAGTCCTCTGTTCCACGCCGTCTTCAGATACCATGCCCCTTGCACAGCAACTCAAGGCTTAAGCAGATCCTGCTTCTCCTACAGTATACATCAGACGTACAGACATAGCACGTCTTATTCCATGCCGGGGAGCCGGAGAGTGCCCCAGAACTCCGCACACTGCGAGCGCAACTGCGTCCTGAGACTTCAGGTGTTAAGTAAGAAGCAAGACGAAAGCCAGCACACCAAACAAGCAGTCCAATGCCACTCAGGTGCATGTCCCTTTTCGTTGTCAGCACCACATGCTTCGCAATCTCATCTATGGAACAAGATCCCTTTTGGATCTTGTTAATGGTCTCCTCGCCTCAGGCAGGGTTCTTTTTCCGGCAAAGCTTCACGAAGAGCAATGACGAGGCACATTGCATCTTCTCCATGAAGTCGTCTGCACCCAGGAGGGGACCTAGGAGCAGATCCCGCTGTTGCAAGCTATCCTTGCCTGGTCCTGAAAGGGTCTTCCCGCCGTTGAATGCTGCCATCGGGACCACTTCTGGTGATTAAATCTGCCCGAGGAAATTTGCACTCGTGGATGTCAAGATAATACCCCAGGCACCTTTCCAGTGTCCCCTCCCAGGAATTCATTGGAGTTTTGAGCAGATTCTCGAGTGTTTACTCGTTGTGAATGCACGTTGTCCAATGCGAGGTGATTCTGGCGAGAGTGGCAGGCCAAATGAATTCTCGATGGAGGTACTCATACTACAGACGCTGCTACTTGTTGCAAGCCTGGTTTCCTGATGCACCTCGTTTGCGATGCTTGCTGAAAGTTGAAAGGTTATCGGGGACCAATCCCTGCATAAAGCTGTTGGCGGCACTGGCGGTGTCATTCCCATCTTTGTCACTCATCTTTGCTCATCACTGCCACTGGGCAGATGTTGAAATATCCACAGCATGCCCAACCACGCTCACAACACCCTCAGGAGAGCGGCAACAGTTTGGAGTGAAGGCGAATTAGAACTGAGCGAGGTGGGCAGATCTATCGGGTCACAGCTTGGCGTCTTTTGCTTGCATCTTGATTCCAGTGCAGTGGTCGAATCGGCGGTGCTGCATTCAGTGCCCTTTCGATCGCTCTTTGTGGTCCAAGGAAGCGATGACACGGAATCTTCCCAGCTCCAACTTGCTTCACTCTTTCGTTGTGGCGCATTCGGAAACTGAGCCCGTTTAAGGCAAGGACTTTCGAAGTCCACGATTGCCGACCCATCTGGATCTTCTAGAACCACAGGGAGCTCTTGCGGATCGTGAACGTACCCGGGCTCGCCTTCAAGGGGCCCACCTGAGGCAACGACCGAAAAAACGGCCCTTTTTCTACAGCTCAATGTCAATGCAAGACATGGCCTGATTCGTCGAAGTCTTCCCCCAAGGACTCATTCTGCAGGAGGAGCCATCGTCTCCACCCCCACCTACGCCCCCAACCGTGCGGCGATGGAGGTGGCGGCGCAGGTGGAGTCCAGATTCCTGCCAGCAAAATGGCTTTCCCGAAGCGACAATGACTGGATTTCTGTCGGCTGGGCTCGTCCTGGCTCAATGTACCCATCGTAGCCAATGCAGACGACCGGATTCGAGCACGGAAGCTGGCAACGAAGTGTGCCCAAAACAAGCACAGCCAGTTCAACATAAGACTTAGAGACAACAAGCGCCTCAACACACTTGTGCTCAGGGTTCCAGCGGCCCATCCACTCCTTCCTGTGGACCCTGTAGTGAGTCATCGGACTGTGGCCTTGGCACTGCGACCTATGCAAACATGTGCGACTACATAGCACTGTTTCGACAAGGTACAAGTCCTGCAGCTGCGACAGGTCGGATGTTCCTTCTCGTTGTTGTATTGCCATGCCTGATGTTGATTGAGAGTATCAATCCAAAGCTTCCGCTGTGCAAGTGTTCCAGCCTGCCAAAAAGTGAACATGAAGTCCACAACACCATGGTGTAACCAGAAAACTGGATCCAGAGTCGAGTCTGGAAGATTTGCCATGTTTCCACCTCGTGAAACCAGAGTGCTCTGATCTCTCATTGGCGGCATCCCTCAGACTGTTGGTCCACCCCGACAAAATTTGACTCCATGCCAAAACATTTGGAGCCTACGTTTGTGTGGACATCCACGTGGAATGCTTCAAATTTGGCTTGGATCGTCTCGAAGCTGTCCTTGCTTGTCAGCACAGCCTCGATACAAATTTCCGGTCAACACAAAACTCATGGATGCACGTCAGCCCCGCTCAAGCGTGGCATTGTGTGACACCAGCAGGTAACCCTACAAACTTCAGGGATTCATCTGAGGAGCCATAACGACAGGCAGAGCTGTCACATGGGCCCAGCGATAAGGCTGTCGGCTGAGGCAAGCGCTACCTCAGCAAAGAATAACAGAGTACAGCCGTTGCTCGAACAATTGCTGCCCGGCTACCATCACCTTGCCTGAAGACTTGGTTGAAAGAAACAGTTTGTGAATCCACACCGGAATCTGTATCAGATATAGCACGAAAAGCTGCAATTCGCCGCTACCAGTAGCCGTGTTGACAAAGCTACAGCCTTCAAAAGTTATTGACACATCTTTGGTCGACCTATCATGACCTATGACAATCAGCAACCTCAACTTGCAGCATTGCTGCAGGATACAGAAGCATGTGGAATTCAGGGTACAAGTACAGTCGAGCAGCAGCTTGACTTGTCAGCATGTGGATCCATAAGGAATTCCTTTCCAATGCCCTCCATGACCTTACTTCTGTCTCTGGTGCTTTTCAGTGGCTCAGAGACTCCAAGTGAGGTCTAGTCGGCGGAGTCTTATGCAGGCTTGAAACACACTGGCTCCAGCCGTGGTCATAGCACCACCAAGCTTGGTCTCTGGGAAGACCAAATGGATTCCCATAACGCTTGCTCGCCCACGTCACGGAACCTCGGCCCGGGCCGGCCAGCAAAGGACCGAAAAGCACTTGCACATACGCCGAAGAACCCCAAATGTCTCCAGATTCTCGAAAAGAGTTCCAGTACGGCAGGAAGACGCCACAGTCGTTGCAAATCCTGCAGAACAAATCACGCGGAAACTCCTCCAGTTTTGCTCACCAATTGGAAGCTACACAATTTCTGAAATGCTGCCAGGTGTCTTTTGAAGGGCTGTTTCCAGATCATACATCATATGACGATGACACACCCAGAACTCGTCTTCTCGTCGATGGCAATTCCTTGCTTACCAAGCATAAATCGAATAAAAAAACAGTCTAGATCAGTCTAGCTAGACTGATTGTGGTTACATTATCGTTCTGCAAGCTTGGCGTTTGTTTTCACTGCCGCACTTAATTCCTTCTCTCAGAGCAGCCCTGATGTACCCTTCCCAAAATGGCCAAAGCGTCTCAATATAATGGTCTGTACAAACTGGAACTGGCCACTAGCTCCAAGTGCAGAGACGGCACATGTGAAATGCCAAGAACGAGTCCCAGCTGTTTGGGTAGTCTTGAATACCTGGGCAACAGGTGTCGACAGGACTGACCACTCATGTCCGACCGGGAACATGTTGCAGAATGCATAAGGCCGTCACACCTGTATTGGCCTTTGCATGATGGCTTCACTTCCTTCAGTTTGCGGACACATTTTGCAAACTTGGAGAACTCCGCATCCGTCCTCAGACAAGCATGGGACACAGAGCCAACCTCCTCACTCCTGACACTGAGTTGATGGTACGGCCCATGCTCAACAGGCTTGCATCCAAGCTTCGTTTTGTGGATTTCTTTGCGGATTCGGATCTGTGGGCCTATCACTTTGCCAGAAGAATCCTTCCGCGCACAGTGTAAAGCGCTTCCATCCGGGGGATGTTGGGATCCTCGCAGTGACTCGCACTGGCCACTTTGAAATTATGTCAGCACTCCATGGAAGCTCTCGTACTCAAGCTTGCCCAGAGCAGACAGTCCTCCACTACCGTGGAATGTGCCGCCGAAGGACGCGTTCCGGCTATCATGGTGCATCCAACCTGCCACTGGATTCCAAAATCTTGAATTGTTGCGAGCGTTTGAGCAGCCTTTGTCGTTGACATCAATCACGGATGCAGCCTTGATTACTGGCAACAACGAAAACTCATGCAAACTGTGTATGAGAAACACACGGAGGCCAGAATGATGCGACTAGTTGCGATGGAAGCCGCGCGTTCAGAAGCTTGCACTTGGATCGCAGAGCTATCGTCTACCTCGCATCCATCGCGAAAACAATCCACGTTCATGCATCGGTGTGTTCACAAGCACGGCAAACTCACTTGCAACACTGTACAAAGAGGACTGCATCTGCTTCGGAAGGCCGAGATGCATCGCGACATTCAGATCGCGCATGTCCCCGCACCAGTACCTGTCCGTCGCTCAGGCAGATTGAAGCTCTCAACGTCAAACACGTTCACGACACCAGCGCACACAAAGAAACGCCACAACGATGCCGCGAGTCATTGCAGGCAGCGCGACACAGGACAAATTCTTACGACTGACCACCCATAGATTGGCATTGATTCAATTCTGCTGACCAGTTGCATTGTCGTTGTGGTAACTGTACAATGCATGTTGCCCCGACAACGAACGGGCCAAACGCTTGGACTGGAGCACAAAAACTGTGGCAGAAGCAGCAACAATCTCTCTGGAATCTCGTAAAAGAAATAAACATATGCACTCAACTCCCGGCAGCCTTGGCTTGTTCTCAACCCCGTGTTGACCACTTCGACGTGTTGGTGGTCTGATGTGATGGTTTTCACGCATCTTTGCCGATGCCTGTAAGGCTCGAATCCGGCCCGTTTAAGCAAACAGGAAACTAAACATGCAGAATTTTTACGAGACAATGTTCAGCCCGCCGCCACTCAAAATGTCACGTCCAAACACAACATTTCTATTATTTCATGCCAATGTCATGTTTTCAACACCTCCTACAACAACTTGGCTGGGTTACATGACCGGAATGCTTCGGTACTGTGCACCGTACAAACCTACAGGCTTGGATATGAACTACATTGCGAAAGCATGCCTTGTTTTGATCAGTGCTACCAGCAACGGCTTCACGAATTTTATCCATGCTCTGTTGCTATGGATCTTCCACATGAACATAAAAGGCTGCTTTGTACGACATGAGCAATGTTGCACCAAAGCTTATGCAGTCGATTCTGTAATAGCGCGCAATACGAGAAACAAAAGCTTTGAAAGTTAGATTTTTTCCACAAGGACCAACATGCGAATGGATGAAGTTGCTTGTGGTAAAGCGTCCAAATAAGTGATTCTAAACAAGCAGTCAGATGGAGACGGCAATTAAAGAATCGGTGCTCATTCGATAATCTAATTTGGCGTGGTCGCCAAACATATCCTTTCCTTTGTTTATGATTATGTGTAAGGCAATGCCGGTTGTTCCTCCCACCCAGGAACCTTCGAAGTGGTAGAAACTACTACTACTACTACTACTACTACTACTACTACTACTACGACTACGACTACTAGAACTACTACACTACTACGACTACGACTACGACTACGACTACGACTACGACTACGACTACTACTACTACTACTACTACTACACTACTACGACTACGACTACGACTACGAC